TTATGCTTTAATATCCATTAATTGATGAAAAACATGTTAGAAAACCTCCATTAATTCAGTAACATCTTAGAGTCAGTTTTATATTATTTATTCTTTACGCCTGATGTATTATCAGTAAATCATATCTCTTCTTATATTCCTTCACTAGCTTCCTATTGCCTTTAGAATAAAATAAATCTTTTTAGCACAGCCGTTAAGGCCTCTGTCTCCCTGTGTCCAAGACCAGGCCCCTCTCTCTGTGATTTCATTCTATCCCTTTCCTTCTTGCTCCAGCCACACAGGCCTTCTTTCTGATCCTTGAACAGAGCAAACTCATTTCAATCTCTGGACCTTTATGCTTACTCTTTCCTCTACGTAGAACGCTTTCTCCATGATCTCTGTGTGGTTGAATCCTATTGTCATGCAGCCCTCAGCTCAGAGAGACCTTCCTGAACACCCAGTTTGAACCAGCCTTCCTCATTCCTTGAAGTAACACTGTTGCTATTTAGATTTTGTTAGCCTACTATGGGAACCACAATATAGAACATGCTTTTTTGGGGAGTTGAGAAAACTAATGAGGATCTTATATTTAAAAAAATTAATATTAATTATTGTCGTCTGGTGGCCTTGAGTAGGTTCCAACTCATAACGACTCTATGTACAACAGAACGAAATACTGCCCGGTCCTGCACCACCCTCACAATCATTGCTATGTTTGAGCTCATTGTTGCAGGCACCGTGTCAATCCATCTGGGTGAGGGTCCTTCTCTTTTTTGCTGACCTTCTGCTTTACCAAGCATAATGTCCTTCTCCAGACACTGGTTCCTCTTGATATCATGTCCAAAGTATGAGATGTAGGCTTGCCATCCTCCTTTCTAAGGAGCATTCTGGCTGTACTTCTTCCAAGACAGACTTGTTTGTTCTTCTGGCAGTCCATGTTATATTCAGTATTCTTTGTCAACACTGTAATTCAAAGGCATCCATTCTTCTTTGGTCTTCCTTTTTCATTGTCCAGCGTTTGCATGCACATGAGACAGTTGAAAATACCATGGCTTGGGTCACATGCATCTTAGTCCTCAAAGTGACATCTTTGCTTTTCAACACTTCAGAGCAGTCTTTTGCAGCAGATTTGCCCAATGCAATGCGTCATTTGATTTGACTGCTTCTTACCTGGGTGTTGATTGTGGATCCAAGTAAGATGAAATCCTTGAGAACTTCAGTATTTTCTCTGTTTATCATGATGTAGTTTATTGGTCCGGTTGTGAACCTTTTTGTTTTCTTTATGTTGAGGTGTAATTCTTACTGAAGGCTATAGTTTTTTTTATCTTTATCATTAAGCGCTTCAAGTCCTCTTCACTTTCAGCAAGCAAGGTTGTGTCATCTGTATATCACAGGTTGTTAATTAGTCTTTCTCCAATCCTTATACTGTGTTCTTCTTCATATAGTCCAGCTACTCAGATTATTTTCTCAGCATACAGATTGAATAAATATGATGAAAGGATGCAGTGAATGTCTTAGACCATTTCTTCAGAGAAAAAAAGAAAAAGATTCGAAGAAGTGTTCTCTGAAGGCCCTGACTGGTTATATAATGTTGGAGCAAGTGGAGACTAATGAGAGTTGACCTAAGGTTCATAGCCTTCAATGGGAAAGGACTTAATGGAAAATTACATGATGAGGTAAGGTTTTAAGTTATTACTCACTGACAAGAACATCTTTTCCTTGTACTATACAGATGGTGCAAGATTTCCATGTTGCTGTGAGGGCAGAGGCACAGATTGTTTATGACATGTCATAAATACCTGTATGAAGGAGATAAATGTTATGACATAGGCCCTATACCAATCAGTTTGTTTTAAAGTGATACAAGGGAGTATACAGAAGCCTCTAGTTTGTTTCTGCAGAGACCAGGGATTAAATGTCCTCGAACTCAAATTAAATTTGACAAGCAAGAACACTGTGCAGCCCCCCTGAGGCACTCTTTGATAAGCACTTAGAAAATTTGGGTAATTCTAAGGGATTATGTTAGACCTCATTGTTTCATCTTATAAAACAGGCTAATAGTACTGTTTATGAGCAAGACAAAGTGGTTATCTTCAGTCGTCTTTGGACTGAGCTAATAATTTTCTTGGAAGAGGGCTTTATTTCCAATCTTGATGCATTTCTAGGATTTATATCTTTAATGGAACACTACAAATATGTCATGAAGGACAAGATATCATCTGTAGCTAAACAAGTCGAGATTCTGAGGTTGACAACATCCCTCCTTTATTATGTTAGAAACTATGAATCCATTGTATGGCCTCATTCTCTGACCTAAGGAAAAAAAAATAATATTTAATGAAGAGAGAATTTAAAGCAATTTGACTAAAATTAATTTCCTGAAGTTCAAATAAGCCCTGGTATTTGGAAAAATAATCCTAGAACAACAGACATAGGAGTCAGTGTGAAGGTGCTATTGGTGTTCTTCATGTCAGGGATGGTGAAGATAATTAACAAAGGCAATCTTATGAAAATCATGGATGGGGACAGTTTTATCATCTTTGGTTGAAAACTCAAGAGAAGCAACTCCTTGCCTCAGGAGAGTTAAAATTTTGGAAAGCAGTAGTTACCCGACTTCCTCCCACCACATAACACATACACACAAACATACAGCTAAAGAGCCCTGTCAAGCTCCAGTTAGTCTCACAAGAAGAATTTTTTAAATACAGCCAATTCTAAAGTTCTTGACTGTTGCTTCTCAATCACCATCTCTTTATTCATTAAAAATTCTTGCTATTAATATTTTAAAACAAGCTATATGGAAGAGAAGCTATTGAAAAGAGTAGTATTGAATATACCAATAATAGTCAACCAGTCATGGATTTAGTGAGCAATCAATTATATAGACATTTTATTTTTCCTCATAGCACAGTTACATTAATAATGTACTTGTAAAATTAAAGATTGTTCACTATAAAAAAGCATGCTTATTCTAGAAAATTTTGTAACTACAGGAAAGTCAGAAAGAAAAATCTAATTTTGTCACCCCAAGGCAACTGATGCCAAAATTTTATTTCCCTTTGATAATGTTTTAAGTCATAACTGTATACTCAGTTACTACCCGTCCCAGTACTACTACTGCAACTGATACTACTCCCACCTTTACCATCTACCATTTACTGAAAGTAACATATTGTCTCCAGCCTTCACATATAATCCCGTTAAGTTGGTATTTTTAAGATATCACTTTACAATTGATCAAATAGAAATTCAGAAAAGTTAGACAACCTGCTCAAGGTTTTTTAGGTGACAGGGTTAGGATTTGGACCCTAGGATTGGGATTGAAGATATATCTAACTTCAAAGCCTATTTTCTTTCCATTTCATCACAGATGTACTTTTCATTGTAAAAACAATTCTGTATTCTGTTTTTTTCACTTAACAGTGACATAAGAATTTCATACATGCCATTATCACTCTTCAAAAGCATAATTGTATTGTAGCATAACAATCCATTATAGAAGTATTTTTCATATTCATGAATTTTCAGTTGCTTTCATTTTTACATGAACTTCTTTATTACTTACGGAGCCCTGGTGGCGGAGTGGTTAAGAGCTCAGCTGCTAACCAAAAGGTCAGCAGTTCTATTCCATCCTCCTTGAAAACCCTATGGGGCAGTTCTGTTCTGTCTTATAGGGTTGCTATGAGTCGGAATTGACTCGGCAGCAACAGATTTTGTTTGTTCGTTTTAGTTATTACTTAAAAACAAATAATTAAAAAACATAATGTGTGATGGCTAGTCCAGTTAGATTGAAGTCTAGTTGAGAAGTTGTCCAGATATGTGGGTGGAGGTTTGGTCATATGCAATACTGCAGGCCATTTCTCTAAAAGCCACTTGCTAAGCATCTGTGGACATAGGCCAGTTTGTAGTCAAAAAAAAAAAAAAAATGTTTTTTAATTAAGACTGTTAATATGAAACTCCAAATGTTTTATTTCCATCCAATGTTCCTAAGATCTTTGCTTAATCCATATCCAGTTTCACCTCTACGTCTGTACTCCCACTGTGCTTGTCCTGACAGTATATATTTTGGTGTTTTTTCCACTTTGATTTTTATACTCTTAGAAAGTTGTTTGGAACTTCTTGTCCCAGAGAATCAATTCTCACCATCTTTTATGTCTTTTGGAAAACTTCCCCGTTAACCACTGAGTCCCAATAACAGTATTTGTAAATATGTTTCCCATTGACAGTTTGTATTTGAATCCCATCTCTAAATCATGTTGCATTTAAAACATATTGTTTTATAGAGTTTTATCTGTTTGGGTACCTTACTTCAAGCTACTTGAGGTACTGAGCATTCTCTAAAGAAGCATAAGGTGTGGATAAAGAACTATCACATTTCTGCCAGTTATTTCAAACAGCAAATTAAGAATCCAATTCTTACAATTATTTTTGTAAAAAATACTTCTTGAGCGCTCATATTATGACTAGCATTGTGATGATAAACACTGGGCATACAGTAGAGAACAAATTAAAAATGATCCCGGTCCTCATGGAGCATAAATTCTAGTGGAAGAGACACACAAGAATTAAGTAAAGAATTATGTTTTACTTTAATTGTACATAGTACATGTCTGATGTTCTATAAGATATAAACATAGTAAAAGTGCTTGTTCTATAAAAGATTTTTGTATCTTGTTCATATTTATTCTTTAACTAAATTATACATTTCAATTTAAAATGTTTATCTGCTGGCTTTCCTACAGCCTTTGTGGTTAAAAAACATTCTAAAAAATGGAGTTGTATGATTTTATTTTAAGTTCGTTGCTCATATATTCGTTAAATGATACTTAAAGGAAAATGTCTGAGTTCCTTTTTCAGCTGCCATGGAATTACTTTGTTCTTAGGTCTTTCAGAAAATTATTGGATTCCTAGCAAGAAAATGCATTTGTAGTATGCCAGAGCATTGTACGGCTCTGATAAACCTCACAGACTATTGAAAACCTTGTCAGACCTGCCAGTAAATCTTCCCTCTCTTGCTATAGGTCAAAGGATCTCATAAAGGAAGCCATCCTTGACAATGATTTCATGAAGAACTTGGAACTGTCCCAGATCCAGGAGATTGTGGATTGTATGTACCCGGTGGAGTATGGCAAAGACAGTTGCATCATCAAAGAAGGAGATGTGGGGTCACTGGTGTATGTCATGGAAGGTATGGTTTGTAACCCTGATCCTCTGACATTCAAATTTTCCCATTTCATCTTATCAGCCTGCACACAGATGGCAAAGTATTATGCGGGACAATTCCATTGTTCCTTCTTTTGTTGAGAAACAGTTTGAAAGGTGAAGTACTGCTTAGATACGGTGGTTGACTAATTGTATGAAGTGTTCATGTTGAGAATATTAATATCAGAATCCAGTATTTTTTCACACATGGGGAAAGGACAATAATGTGCAAGAAAAAATGCTGTTAATTAAGCAGAATAAAGCTGCATGCTATCAGATCATTGAGCAAGCTCATAAAGCTCCAAGGGAAGTTGAAGACCATTAGAAGTATTTTTGGTCAGGTAATCAAAGTGTCTTCAGCTCTACCCTTAACTTTCAATATAAGACTAGCTTTCCTGCTATGATGCTTCTGTAAAAAGAAAATGTTTTCACTGTTCGTTATGGGTATGATAGAGGCAGATCATAAGTGTTGAAGGGCATATTAGCTGCCTGATTAATGAGAGTGATAGCTTGTTTCATAAACCTTACTGAGACGAAAATAGAAACTGCTTTGAAGAAACTGAGGCTTGTCCTGGGTAAATATGTTTTATGCCTAGGTAAATTTTCAGAATGTTTATTTCTAGCCAGGAATTATAATAACATGTTTTCCCTTTGTGGGAAGAAAGAAGCCTGAAAGAAAGGGAGTTTAGAGATGTCTGCAATACAAGATAGTTGGCATACAACAATCACGTTTGGTTTATGTGGTAATTAGTGATTTGCCCAAGGTATTCATGGCAAAGTCTTTTAACTGCCGAGTTTATGTCATTAAAGTAAAGGGTGTTTTGGGCAAGTCACTCGACTTCTCTGAGTGTCACCTACACAGTTTGCGCAAAATAAGATACTATTTCTTTCTGCCAGTGGTTCTCAACTGGTGATGATTTTGGCCCCCAGGGAATGTTGGGCAGTTTGGCGTAGTCGTTAAGAGTTTGGCTGCTAACCAGAAGGTCAGCAGTGTGTATCCACCAGGGTCTCCTCGGAAATCCTGTGGGGCAGTTCTACTCTGTCCTGTAGGGTCGGAATCGACTAGATGGCAGTGGGTTTGGTTTTGATTTTGAAGACATTTTTGGTTGTCAAAACTGGGGAGGAGGGAATGCTACTGACATCCAGTGAGTAAAGGCCAGAGTTACTGCTCAGTTGAGCATTTGCCCACAACAAAGAATTATCTGGCTTAAAATGTCCTTAGTGCTGAGGTTGAAAAACCCTGCTTTCTGTCATCCTTACACTTTTATGTTGAAGTTAAAATGAGATAGTTGTATGAATGTGTAGTGTAAACTATAAAGCATTATAAAATAATATTGTTATTTCTTTTAAGTACTTGACGGTATATACGAAATATTCTTATATGTGTCATTCAGTTTAATTTTTCTCTGTAGTCTTTTTTTGAAGTACATAGGAACTTGCTTTTTAAGTATTAATTTCTATCAATTTTTTCTTTTATGGTTTTCACTGTTTGTATCAACCTTAGAAAGTTATTCTCCAGGCCCAAGGGGTATAAATATCCAGCTAGATTTTCTTCCGGTAAAAAACAAAACACAATAAACAGAAACATAAAACAAGATACACTTGGCAGAGAATTGCAAGGAAAGGAGATGAAATTATAGGGCAGGAGTTTATGTGGGTAGTGAGCAGTAAGGATGAGAAAATGGAAAAAATATATAGAGGCCAAGTACTGAGCATAAAGTATAGAGGCCAAATGTTAAGAACTACTAATAATTAGAAATCAAGTTTAAAGCACTTAGAGATTATATCAATGGCTTCATATGGTTTCCTTTTTTAGATGTTTTACTGGCAAGCATCTTTTTAATATCATAGCTAGTGTATAAAGGAAGATACACTTTTACTTTAGCTATTTCCAAATGCTCATTACATTATTCAGTTTGAGAAACCACAGTTTTGAAAACCTGTGGGTTCTGTTTTCCTTCATCTTAAATATATCTTACAAAACAGATTTCTACACAACCTTGTAATTTTTTTCTAAATAGGTAAGTTCTGTTTATCCATGTTGTGCCTGTTTTCTAGGACTTTTGATAACTACAAGTTTATTAGCTATGTTAGAAGAAGCTTGTACATAATAGTTAATATTTATTGAGTGTTTAGAACAATGCTCAACAAATAGATCATGCTTTCCTGAACACTTTCCATGTATAAAATTTATTCAATCCTGAAAACAATTCTGTAAAGTAGGGTTTATTATGCCCATTTTATAGATGAGGAATCTGAGGCCAGTGAGGTTGAGTAATTTGCCCAGATCTCCCAACTCGTTTATACTAGAGTCAGGATTTGAACCCAGGCAATCTGGATTCAGAGCTCGACTCTTAACTATAGGGCTATATTGCTTCCCTCGGTAGAGATCATTGTGTTAATGTTTTCCCCGTCACTGCTAATTTGAATGAATTTTATTTATTTTCTCTTTCTGCCAGATTGACTGAATAGCCAGTATCTTAATTATATTTTTTAAAAGAAGGTTCTAAATAGTATATCAATATTCAGAGTCACAGATTTTTCAATGATGCTGTTGATTGCCTTCAGTTAAGCTAAGTAAAATGACCGCAGTCTTATAAAATGATGCCAAAATCCTTAAGCTGTTATACTAAGCAGCTTAATGTAACTTTGGTAGATCTTGTGCTAATATCCTTATGTCAAAATAATTGAAAATAAAAACACCCTGTCATTTAAATTTTTATTAGTTTTAATTGAGGAAATGTTTCATTGTTTAATTAGTTTTTTATCAACAAATTTAATCTTCTGAAAATTTAGATGGAAATGTTGATAGAGACGAATTCTTTTTCATCTGCAAACATTAATATTTACAAAGAGACTACCAGGGCAACAATGGAAGAATAAGCTATAAAATATCTTTCACAAACTTGCTTACTATCAACACATTCAGCAAAACACCCGGGGAGTTCACAAGGAGAATCAGTCCAATTTTTCTGTCTCTCTTCAGGTAAATGAAGCGTTCTTCGTAAAAGCTTGTTCAGCATGTGCCTTAAGTCATTTCATTTTTAGCCTGGGCAGTGTCCCAAGTATTACTGCATACCTAAATGCCAAAGTTTCTCTTTGTTTTAACAAAAGAGAATGGTCATATTGTAAGATTTCACTAATTAGGATCACTGGGGAGAAATCAGCTGGGAGTAATGTAAGTGTATATTACATATTTTTAAGCAAAATGAGTTATGTTACTTTCAGATACAATTGCTGGCTAGTAAAGCTTCAGTTTCAAGTTTTGATAAGAGCGGTTTGAAATTAGCTTCTTGACATAGTGGTGTAAGTAGATTAGCTTGCTTAAGCTCTGTTTACATTGTAATTGTGTTCTCAAATACATAAATTACTCTTAAAGAATACTTGGAAACAATTTATTTTCTTAAACAAGGAGACCTTGGCCTTAATTATGATTTAACATTTGTTAACATTCTTGTGCTCTTGCCCCCTTTTTATCATAACCTTCAATTTCTCTCCATCCAAAATAAAAGAGATTCTGATTTAGTGGCTTAGAATTGGTGATTTTTTTATTCTTTGGGATTCTGGTCTAATAGATTGACATTGAATGTGTAATGTATATCTGCTAAAGAAATTGATTTACATAGGTGTACATATTTTGCACATATTCTGTGATATTTTATTATAGAAGCAGATAGATTACATTTTATTTAAATAAACAGTCAAGCCGTCTGTTTAGTATCCTTTGATGGTTGATTATTTTAAACTTTTTAAAGAAATAATCTATGTTTCTTTCATGAGGTGCTTATTAATGATAATAATTTTTATTAAGTACTTAAATGCCAGGTAATGTTTAATCACTTTATATGTAGTAAATTTTAAATTCTTACCACAGTCTTAAAAGGTCGGTATAATATTATCTACATGTTAATAGATGGGAAAACTGTTACATGGAGAGGTTAAATAACTAGGCCAGGATCACACAGTATGTTAAGAGGCAAATCTTGAAACTATGGCTCCAGAGTTTGCAAACCTAAGGACTGTACCATACTGCCTTTTCAAAGTACAGATTAGATGTACTGTAGTTACGTATTTATTATGTAGATCACAGCTTTGGAATCCCATAAAAGATAACACAGCATTACACTATAGAATACAAAAATGGCATGACTGTTTGCAAGAAGAAAAAATAAAATAAAATGTGAATAGAAATAGGTAAAAGAGAAAACAATCCAGGATGTTTTCTATAAATACCTGTTAGGCCTCTCTGCATCCTTGGAACATTGAACTACTTACTGACCTCTCTGTAGATCATCTAGCATCCATTCTTCTCCTATTCTTTTTTTTTTCTTATTGAAAGAATGGCTGTGATTTTGCTCAATTCTTGGTCTACCTCTGTGACCTTATTGCTTAGGATTAAACTCTGCCATGTACCTTGAAGGCACTGTTTTCCTGTTCACAATCAATAGCATTGATTTTTATTTTTTCCACACAGATTTTTTTTTAAAGGAGGAACAATTATTTCAACTTCTCACACATATCTTTTTGTTTATTTATTTTTATTGTGCTTTATGTGAAAGTTTACAGAGCCAATTAGTTTCTCATTAAACAATTAATACACCTAAAGTTTTGTGACATTGGTTACCAGCACCACGATGTGTCAACACTCTCCCCTTCTCGACCTTGGGTTCCCCATTTCCTTTTGTCCAGCTTTCCTGTCCCCTTCATTCTGGGCTGGTGTGTCCATTTAGTATTGTATACATGGTTGAACTGCGTCACACAAATCTTTCAGTGGGAGTTTTTGCATAATAACTCTAAGTAGGGTCTGTGGTGATTCACGTCAACTCTCAATGACTTGCCCCACATTTCTGTTGTTATTTCATTGAGATCTCACCCTTGTCTTCTGATCATCTGCTGCTTTTTCCAGTGATTTGATATCAAGTCTGCCTGTTATGCTGATGTTTTACACATTCATTCAACATGGATGTGAATTGGACTAGCCGCCAT